GTGTTTAAAAAGCAGGAAATAAAAAAAGGAACTCACCTTGTGATAAACCCGCAAGAGAAAAAGCATTTGAGCTCCATACTGTTTCAGAAATAATCCTTGATGTGGTTTAGAACAGGTTGCCGTTTTATCAAAGCAGAATTTTACTTTATCTCTGGTACAATTCTGATCAGGCATTAGCTCCGCCTCCTCTTTTTTTTTTTTTTTAAAGCTAAGGACCCAAGATCCGCGATTGGGAATAGAGGGATCTGAGGGATTTCTAAAATGCATGATCTGTTTGTATTGTGAGAAAAACACATCATAGACATGTTTTTATATATTTTTATATATCTGAGACTAGGGGTGTAACGGTTCACAGAAGTCACGGTTCGGTACGGGTTCGGTACAACAAGAAAAAGCAAATAAAAAGTCCCAAATGCATAATTCCAGGTTGTTATTTATTTTTGAACAGTTGTGCAAGTTTCAGTTTAAAAATAAGGAACTCTGACATTTTGAATAATTATCTGTATTAAACAGTTAAAAACAAACAACCACACACACTCAGATGGCCTATTATCTACAATGGCTGATGTCAAACAAAAAGGTTTCATCAAGCTGTAAAACTATAAAGAATGTCTTGAAAATATTACATCATAAATAATAAAGTGTTTAAAGAGCGCAAAGTTGTTGAAAAACATAATGCCAAAAGCTTCCGTTATTAATTCTGGTCTCATGTCTATTGGTTTATTCAAAACAGCGGGGATAAGCTCTTGATAAGCTGTTGAACTGCTGTTGTCTTTTGCCGGGCTCCAGTGATTGGCAAATCTGGGTGATGCCTTCTGATATGATTTAGCATTGTTTGGCTTGTGTTACATTAGCATACCGCACCGCTGTCTAACAACGCCGACACACCGTCCTCGTCCGATCCACCACTCGCACTCCATCGTTATTGTAGTCCACAGGGAACCCGAAATGTTCCCACACAGCTGATTTAAAAGAAGCAGGTGGGTCTTTTAGCTCCTGTGTGTTATCTGAAATCGCCATACTAACTTTCTTCTTCTTGTATTTTGTTCGTTTTGTTGTTGTGTTTCTTCTTGTTCTTCATTTGTTGTTTAAGGGCGGCTGGCAAACAGCTTTTAGGCGCAATTCCGCTCCCTGGAATATAAATAGTGTAATGGATACTGCCCTGAATGACAGACTTTTTTCCCACTCGTGAAAAAAAGGCGTATTCGTCGTGTGACTGCATGTGCCGAACCGTGACGGTATGGGACGAATACGGATACTGTTACACCCCTACCACACACACTTTAATTGTGTATCAACACTTCATCACACAGGTTGCTGTCTTAGCAGGCTTTAATGCAGAGTGTAGTGTTAGCTTACAACTCTCAAACACAGAGATCAAACGTCATTCTAACCTCAGCCAGAGGCCTCTGAGGAGCAGATGGAGGGCAGGAGGGTCTTCAGCGATGAAGAGAACGATCGGTGGGAGTTGTGCAGCTATCATGACTGTTGTTTTAAGATAATGTTGATTTAAATCTGTCATTGTTAGGTTCCACATACTGGTTCTTAACTGATTCGTAAAAGTACTTGTATAGCAGCCTACTGATCAATAGTATGCTTTATTTTTATTTACAGTGAATGTATGAACTCCAAACAGAGGGGTTTAAGATGAGATGAGCACATACAACACATCAGTGTTTTTGAGGCTGTGGCTCAGGGGGTAAATGGGAGTCCAATCAGAGGAGCAGTGGTTCAATCCAAGTTTCCATTGGACAAGATACTGAGCCCCATAAACAGTCAAATGAACGCTCCAATTAACAAATTTTTAGGTGGTAAAACATTGAAACATAAACACTGCAACAACAGTAGCTGTTGATTTTAGCTCACGTTCTGCAGAATGTCATAAATGATAGTGATATAATCTCATTAAAAAGTAAAGACTTTATGTACAAATTCTCCAGGGACCATTCTTGTTGATGCTTATACATTCTACCTGGTATCTGCCAAGACCTGCAAACAAACAAACATTGCTCTGTTTCTCATCCTCTGTATTCCTGTCTCCAGTTTAAGATCCGTGTTCTGTCTAAGCTGGCTGCAGAGTTGAACTCCTACATGCCAGAGAAAGTTCCAGAGGACACCAGCAGCCTCCTGCGCTCCCCCATGCCGGGCACCGTGGTGGCTGTGTCCGTCAAGCCTGGAGACACGGTAACACATGATGAGAGCTTTACACACCGGCATCCACAGTGCACAGTTCTTATTTGTACCTGGGGTCACCTGACTGATCCATGTTCCAGGGTACACTGCAAACTGCCTTGCTCTGTGACCTCGGTCTGTCCTTCTTATTTGGTCTAGGCCTCTGAGTTCCAATGAAAGGAAATATTGATGTTAAAGCATAAAGTGAAGTTTTACACAAAAGTGTGCTTCCGTTTTGACTTGCCCTTATCCTGTTTCAACATGCACAAATCCAGCTCCATCAAGACATGTTTTTCCCCAGTTGTTTCCCTTTTTAGTAGGCCAGCTGGACGTTAGCATCTCAAGGGCTGCCTCGACAAAGAGCAACGGGATATTTCCATTGCTTTTTAGAATATTGCATAAAAAAAGATTTGTGGCAAACACGTTTTACTTACACATTTTGTTCAGCAGGATAATCTACACATATACAAAAATAGTTGTATGATGCAGTGCCTTGCTCAGGGGCATCACAGGGCCCAGAAGGTGAACTGGGAGCTCTCCAGGTACACTCCATATTTGAGGTCTGGTCCGCGACCCTGAGACCCACAGTCCAAGCCCCTACTGACTGAGCCACTGCTAAGCTAAAGGCTAATGTTGGGCTTGTTCACATTTTTCCACAACATAATGAGACTATCTCTTCAGCTTGTGTCAATGACTATTTCAGGCATCCAACCAATAACTCAATCACAAAAACATTGACTTCCAGACAAGGGCAATGGAAGTCTTTTTTTAAAGATGTATCTGTCATCACTGCACCGCTCTGTTCAGCCATGGGAGTGACATCAGCACTAGGGCTAATGTGGAGTTCACTTCACGGTCGTATAGTGTACAAGGGGCTTTGATCAGTGTTCTTGTGTGATCAGTGATTGTTTGTAATGTAGCTGCAGACTCACAGGGTGGACTGGAACACTACTCAGCCATTGTTCTTTTTGACTGAAACTGTGTGTGTGTGCAGGTTGCAGAGGGTCAGGAGATCTGTGTGATTGAAGCCATGAAGATGCAGAACAGTCTGACTGCTGCCAGGGGAGCAAAGGTAACAACATGAACAGTGACAGAGAACTAACAGTCATCATTGTTCCTAACTAATCTAGTTCATAGATTATAAGGCTTGTTGCTAAAATCAGTGAATCCCTACTCGTGAATATAAGGTCCACCAAATAGTTGCCAAAGTGGTAAATGATCAGGTGGAGAAGATTTTAATGAAACATGTAAAATAATAACATTCTGAATTGGCCTTTTAAAGTTTTCATGTTTTAATTTTCACCCGTGTGTGTGTGTCCTGTCCTCCAGGTGAAGAGTGTGCACTGTAAGGCGGGGGAGACAGTGGGAGAGGGAGACCTGCTGGTAGAGCTAGAATAAATATTGACCTTTGACGTGTGACATCACCAGGAAGAGCCTTACCCCCTCTGAGTCCTCAGAGGAGGATCCACACTGGACAATAACAGACGCTCCATTATGTTGCCAGTGGTTACTCTCCGGAGAGCCTCCCCCCCCCCACCATGACTCAGCAGTCTGCTCCACATGTAACGCTAACCCTGCAGCTGCACACAGACCTCCTGTAAATCTGTCCATGCTTCTGTTGAGTGTGTTTTCTAGACCTGATTGTTTGTGTTGTTTTTGGAGTCAGTTGAACCACATTTCAAAATATTGTCCCGTTTCACCTTCATGCTGTTTGCCTTGCAGATAGTTTCAGTTATATGCCAAGGTTTTTATGTCTGCTTCCAATAATATGGACTTAGACCTTTGGTGTGTAAGCTGCTCATGACTCTTCCAAATGTTATTTTTCTTTGATTTGAGAACCATTTGTCTCCATGGTGCAGGTCCAGCCTTGATCAGACCTCACTGAACCGGTGTATTTATATTACAACCAACTTTAACAATAATGTGACTTCTAGAAGCAATTGGCTGACCAGTGATGATTTAGGTTAGGTTTTCCTTATTAGAGACAGAGAACACTTTTGCAAACATCTTTCATCTGTAATTAATGAAGAGGAATTTTTTTAATGTAATAAAACTTTGATTAAAAAATAAACACTGGGATTAATATGTTCTATGAACCATGTGGTGTACTGTGTTAATCTGGCATAAAGTGTGTGCCTAAGAAGCATATATAGGAAATAAAGACTCCAATAAAGACTTTTCTGTTTCCCACATTTCTTTTTAAAGGCTCACAATAAAAAAAAAAGAAGTTTAATACTGTAAAACAAGCAACACACCTGTTCCCTCTGTGTCTCCATTGAGAGCTTCAAAAAGCAAATCAAGGTCTTTGATCCTCAGTAGATAAAGCCAGTCATCCTCTTTGGGAATCACTAATGCTTTTATTTTGTTGCTGGTGGTTTGTCATCTTCTCTCAACTGACTTCCACCCGGTTTGGTTCTCCCATTTTTAATCATCTTGTATTTTGTTGCATAAAAAGAACACATTTTTTGTAATTTCTCATGTGTTGTTCCCTCTAAATGTGTTAAGACTTTTTTTTTCCGATCAAGAATCATGATTAAAAATGGACTCACGGCTGTTATGATTGATATATCGGTTGATAAAGCTTACATTATAAATAGCAACCCCTGATAAGAAATGTCCCTCAGCTTTTAGGAACAGATAGACTCTTCATCTTCTTCACACATATGACCATGCTGCTGTGGCTCAGGGGGAAGTGGGAGCCTAGCAATCAGAGGGTCAGTGGTCTGATCCCCTGCCCCTGCAGTCAACATGTCAATGTGTCCTCGGCTGGATACTGAACCCCAAACTGCTCCATACTCTACGGCAGGGGTGTCAAACTCAAGGCCCGGGGGCCAAATCCGGCCCATGACTTCATTTTCTGTGGCCCCACAAGAGCTAGCAAAGAATATAATATGTTTATTAGACGGTTACATGCCGATTTACAGAAGCATGTTGGCCATAAACTACATGTCCAACAATGCATCTCAAATTAGCATTTTGTCTCAGAACTATTTTTCCTCAAAATATTCTTTTTTTCTTAGAATCTGACTTTTTCTCAGAATCTGACTTTTTTCTCTCAAGATTTCACTTTATTTTTCAAAATGTAATTTGTTTCTTTTATTTAGACTCTTTTTTTCTCCAGAATTTGGCTTTTCTTTTTTAATCATTTTGTCAAATGCTCACTGAAGAGACTTGCAATTATTTGCCCTAGACCTCTGCTTTCAGACGTAGTTAATTATGAAGTTATTACCCTATCCGATAATAATCCAATGCAGAGGCAATCATGTAATATAATACATTATTTTATATATATTAAATATTTATATATGTAT